GGGGGTTTGCTCACCCCCTGCCCCACCGAGATTTCCACCACTGGGTTTGTGTAAACTTGAACTGAACTACCTCTCGTGGTCACTTAAGCGGGCCCGTTTCCGACTGGGCGAATTTGTTCACCAGCCAAGCGAAAAAGTGGGATCGAAGCAATTGGATTTTTTTGCTAATCAATTGCGTCATCAATCGTGTCAGAAAAGGGTCCGGCTAATTGCGAAGTTGGTGCTTTTCCTTGATTTGTTCTATAACGTCTATTGTAAAGATACGAACTCCCCGAGGCACTTTGCTAGCAGCTCAGGGTACCCGCGTGGATACTACTGAAAAGATACTTGTCACCTATACCAATGGGATCATTGTTTCACTTTTTGGAAGCACCATGTTTATTTTTTCCCGTAAAAATCAACCCTACTTATAAACTCCGATTATACTAGTTCAATGAATATATAGTACAAAGGTAATGGCAAGAACGCAGGGCTTGTTGAAACTACAGTTTTTGTTTAGAAAACAATGTTTGCACAGTGTGCTGTTGTACTGAACGGGGCCATCAAATAGATTCTGAAATATCTATTCTATATACCAGTTGGGAGTTATACTTTATCATGCAAGTCACAATTGTGTACTTGAAAATATTTAGTAAAATCCAAACAAAATTGCTTCGGAGATAAGGGACCGTTCATTATTTATACCTGGGGTTGGTACCGAAGAGAAGCGAAAAACACTGTAATTTTTTTATTTACCCAACCTCAACATTGGTCAAAATAATGTTTACCCAACCCATGTGTTACTGTACTTAATAATTAAACACACAAGATTATATGGTAACAGAAATCAAGTTGCCTAAATTTTAAAAGCTCACTCAGACTCAAACTCACTGAGTGTGCCAATGGAACCACGTTCCTGCTGATCAATAATAGAGTCCTTCCTCAATCACTGATAGTCTACTTTGGTACAGAATGTATTGTGCACGTTTTTCTTCATATTTTCCAATGCATGGTAATTTCGGTTTTATTTTATAGCTGACAGACAGCCACAATTTTTTTTTACCCAACCCATGAGCTAGTCAAAAACTTGATTACCCAACCCATATCTCTTCGGTACCAACCCCGGGTGTAAATAATGAACGGTCCCTAAGACTTGCATGAGTATATATACATTTTTAAACTGCAACACGGATCGAGTATATATTTGTTAGTGTTGTACATATAGCCTCCCGCATTGACTTATAACTGAGGGCTTTTATATAGTATTGCAATTAATTTAATGATATGTATGTATGGACGTAGTGATTGACATTTTATCAAAAGGGGCAATAAACAAGCTGTGGATTGATCCCTATCAAGTCATACAACTACCTGAAAAATACAAGCAGAACTTCGACGTTTCGAGTGAAGGTCCTTCTTCGGGACGTTAGTAGCCTTATGCTCGAAACGTCGAATTTAGTGTATCTTCCAGGTAGTTGTATCCTATCAATCCGAAGCTTCCTTATTATCGTCATTACCTATACTGGCACAGAATGTTCTAGATTATATCTAGGTAATTATATAGGTAAACCCTAGCTAGCTTTCAGTAAAATCTCAAAGGGCATGCGCCAATCACCATCACCCACGCGTACCAATATGTCATTCGAATTGGCCAATCAAAACTCTTCATTATTAAAATAAAATAATACTGTAACCCTTTGTGACCCGTCTTTTGGCGGTTGCGCGAAAGGCTTCGGTTGCTTCACTTGTTATGCAAACTCAAATACAAAATCATAAAGATCGATCAAGATGCGTGACGTTGGCGTCACCTAAGAATTTGTACGATAATTTACTTCTACTCATTAACGAGAAATTTGGAAAGGAAGAAAAGGACCGCTTCGAATTCTGGTTTAGAAACGATTTGCCATGTTCAGTTCTGGAATCCCGAAATCTGTTGAAGTGCTTTCAGACCTTGGAGAAGAAAGGAAAATTATCGTGGAACGACGTTAATTTCTTGGTCGATTTCCTTAAAAAAGGTTCGTGTGACGACTTGGTATCTGTAGCTCGACATTACCAAGCAAGAATAAGAGTCATTCGATTCTTTCAAAGGCATCTTCAAGCAAATTTACCTGAATTGTGTTTAGGTAAGATATCAAATAACAGTATACGATTGCCGATGATATATTCTAGTTGCATAGTGACATATAAATCACGTATTTCATCTTCAGTACTCAGTCTTACTTACATTTCACGTTTCCCTAATCCTTTTTCCTCCATAAATTGTTACATTTGAAACGTTTAAGCAGGATTTGGCTAACGTTTCAACACATTACTATTGAATTTTACAAGCCCTTTGTGTCTACATTACTGAAAGGCAATTAAGTACGTTATATATTTTAAACACTCTCATTAGTCGCACATCAGTATCCACATTTTCTTTAACGCTTTACTCTTTGCGCCTTTAAAAATTTGTTACGCTTAAGATAAGCATTACCTACGTAGTAACTATTTTTTATGTGAAATCTCTTGGATCACAAATCCGAGATTTCACAAGCCATTGGCATTGACCAAGGAAACTGTATAATCAAAATCAGTTATATGCATGTACATGCACTATATCCATCGCTTTTGTGTTTGTTATATGTCTTTGAGAGAAGTTTCTCTCTTGTTTGAATGCGAGGTTTCCTAGATAATGGAGCGATCATAATGGAGCGACCACAATTGTCAGACAAATATTAATATTGATTTCTCGTACTTCCTATCGTGTCGTTGGCTTAGTGACTCGTGTATATTCATATAGTATTTTCTTGTGCTTTATGAAAGCATGCTAAGCTTTCAATACTGCTTACTATAGTGTCCCATTTTCAACCTACATTTATAAATACACTTTATATTGACTTGAGAATTCGAGTCCTCGTGCAATATATAAGCAATTTGTTTTGAATACATGTTGTGGCCACACTCATTACAACAACAACACGTCATTGACATTGTATTATAAACGAAACCAAGTCAGCGAGCATACATTAAAAATCGTAAGGATAACAATTTTCTTGTGCAACTTTTGCACATGTGGTAGTTAACGGTTGAGCTAGATTAACTGGAAGT